GTGGCCAAATCTTTAAATGCGCCCCGACGGACATCCAGTCTACGGGATAGGTGAAGGTGAAGGTTAAGTCATGGTAGTGGCAGAAGATATTCGGAGACGTCTCCGGCGAGCGCCCAGGAATTATTCGGACTCGTCCTCCCTCACACAGATGCACTGCTTTGAGCGGTTAAACTGCGTATTGTTTGCTGCAGATAGCAAATCTAGCCACTAAAACTGTCGCAAATAAATAATTTTTGACAGATTTTCAAACCTAACGGCAAGTAGCAAATTATGTGTCTAAAAGAGGGAGGGGGGTTATAGCCCCCCAGATTTTTTACTTGGTCTTGAGGCACAAAGCATTTTGATTGGTCTATCTCCGTCGGAGAAATCTCCGGATAGATACTGCGCATGTTACTAGAGTTCTCTCTGTTACCCTCTGTTTTTGTTTGTACCCATTGCTGTTTGTCTAGGTAATGTGTGGGTGGTGGTTCATTAACCTCGGGGAGCTGTAGGTACCAGACGGGGATATAAGCTTACGAGAATGCCAGACAGGGCAGCAGACATTATCATCATCTGCTGCTTCCATGTCTGGGATTCTGACCCCGTATGTGAGTTCTAGCTTGTTGAGGTGGATGCAGAGTGGTTTGCTAGTTTCAAAGTTCTAACTAGTTTTTTTCTGACTTTGACGTCAAAACTGTTTAGTTTTACTTACAACATGTCAAGCTTTTTCGAAGGCAATTCCTGGGATATGTTGACAACGACTCCGAATAACCTTACGATTTAGATAGAGCAGAGGTACTACATTGAGTTTCTGACCTTATGCTCGTGGTAACTCAAAATAATACTAATTGCATTTATATAGCGCATATCCATGCTCATGAGCTTGCTCTATGCGCTTTACAACCATTATTACCCCAGCAGACCCTCTGAGAACACTCGGAAACATTCTAGGCTTCCGCGGAAGAATACAGTGCAAGCTGCGGATTTCACGTGCTCAAACACTATCAAACTGACAAGATCTTTCACTGTCTATAGCCGGGTACCCATTTCCACCTGGGTGAAGTGAGGAAAATTTGTGCTAAGTGCCTTTCCCAAGGACACATACTATATATATACTATTACTGAACTAATGACTTCATGCCAGAAGGGGGCTCCAGAGGCAGAGTGAGCAGGGAGTTCAGACTCAAAAATGACATCAAGCAAGTGTCAATGACACAGGGTTCAGATGGGAGGTCACTGGGCTGTGCCCATGAGCAAGGCACGATAACCCTCGCTAGAAAAAAAAAAAGGTGCTGCACAGCTGCGATCAGCAGTCGCATGTTTGTAAAATTGTTCCACACTGGTGTGATACTGTGTGTTTGCTTCTTTGTATGTATTTGTGTACCTCATTATGTTTTTATATTTGTATGCTTACCATTGTAACCTACTTTTCCCAGCGTGGATCAATAGAGTGTAATTTCTAGAACAAGATTACCACAAGGTACTAGATACTGTTTAGACGAGAGAAAAGTGAAAAAAAAAAAAGGCAGATAAGGGGAAAAACATATCAAGTAAGAAACCTTGGAGCAGGGTTTCCAAAAACTAGCAGCCCGCGGGTCAACTGAGGCCCATAGGATGATATTTTGCAACCCCTTCTAGACATCAAAGTTTTTAATGCTCGAGCAGCCTTCCCTTGCGCCAAATGTGGCTGAGCTATGTAAGAGGAAGTGCTGCCAGATCCCTGACAGTTAGGAGTACGTAAGAGAAGCCAATATTCTGAAGAGCTTTTCATGTTTTCAACTTTCAACTACTAGACTATTAATATAAAAACTGAAAAGATTACATCAGTTTTACTTTACTTTTCTTAATACATAAAAACAGGGGGCTTTTTTTACGGTAGAACTACTTGATGCGGCCCGGGCTCTTACAGACCATATCCCCAACAGCCCCTGGTTAATTTGAGTTTGAGTCCTTTTGTTTTAGTAGAGGGTTTACAACGCTCGCAACTGCATAAAGTCATATGAACGCCAAGGGGTGGATGTCAACAGATTATATTATATTATAGGGAAGAGGGTTTTTCTGCGCTTGCAACGGGATGTCAACAGAGAAGTCCTTACAGGGAATCAGACTTACTCTGCTCACCTCTCTAGCCTCAACAGCACAAAGTC